GCAATTGTAAAAGGGAGACTAAATTATTATTATATTCTTCTAGAAACTTAAACAAATTATATGATAGATTTGAGTATGAATGGAAAAAAATATTATTTGATACAATCAACAAACTTATAGTTTCAATGTCAGATAGGATGAAAGCTATTATCAAGTCTATGAGCAAAGGGGAAAGTTTTAAAAAAAGTTACAAATTTACTGTCATTTAAATTTATAACTCAAACTGCTAAGCTTTTAAATCAAAATTTTTTTTTTTGAATTTTGTTGTAAAATATACACAGCTATTATTAAAGTTTGAAGGGCCTTGAATTTTTATTGAAATTGTTATTAATTAAATGTCGGGGAAATTATAAACATTTATTATGCATCTTATAAGCAATATAAATTTCATTGATATCTGAAGCATTCTCAAAATGATAGTTTTTTGTCTGTTTGGTGATTTCCTAGATAAACGAATCACAGCTCAATATCAAAGATATGTATCAGTTTTTTTCTAACAATTAAAGTGGCTTGATGGTCTAGTGGTATGATTCTCGCTTTGGGTGCGAGAGGCCCCGGGTTCAATCCCCGGTCAAGCCCAGAGCTATGGTGTAGTGGTTATCACGTCTGCTTTACACGCAGTAGGTCTTGGGTTCGATCCCCAATAGCTCTATATCCGCAATGGTCTAGTGGCTAGGATCCGACGCTCTCACCGTCGTGGCCGGGGTTCGATTCCCCGTTGCGGAGTAAGCACCATAGCGCAGAGGAAGCGCGCAAGGCTCATAACCTTGAGGTCCCTGGATCGAAACCAGGTGGTGCTAATTTTTTTTTTTGAATTCCTAGTAATTTTTTATATCAATTTTATTAGTTTTGGTTTTACTTTTTTCTCTAAAATGTTTATTGAAATAAAGATCCTGAAAAAGTAATACGCCTACTTTTTTTAACTAAAAAATCTTTTTCAGCTTTTGTGTTTAATTTAGTCAGGTGTCTTAGAGTCGGTCTTCCATGTGGGCAGTTCCAGGGATGATCAAGAGTACCAAGGTTGTCCACTATCTATTTTATAAAAATTTAATTTTTATACCAGTTGTTTGATTTATACCTTTCTCATCTGACTGTTGTTCAGTGGGTCACCTATCATCACTGATTTTCTGCATGCTCTAGATGCAAATACTCTTCTTGCTCTTGCGCATCTTACTGTCTCCGAGGGATTGAGTTGCAAGTTTGTCAGCAAATCCTTCATATCTATGAAGTTTAGTTTATAGATGAAATATTTAAGACTATGAAATTTTTACCTAGAGCTGTAAAAAGAGACTTCTCGATAAATGGCTGGCTTAGTAGCTGAACCCTGTACCCGGGACTTGCTTCATGATTTTCTCTTATTATGAATCCATTTTTTGCCAAAATATCGATATGCTCAAACGCTGAATTCTCATCTGCAATACTGAGTTCGAGTGTCATTGGTCTAAATATTGTTTGATTAAAAATGTTGTTTTTTTGTTTTAAAATAACTTACGCTATTAGTGGTTGCGATGATATTACAGCTTTGGATTGTAGAGTTTCGAAATTGAACTTTTCATCTGAAGCATGCTGATCAACAATATAGAGATCATTATTAAACGAACATATAATAAAACCAAGATTGAACTGGCCAATGATTTTCATCTCAGCAAAATCGGTTTTCCTAATTGTTCTACTCAATGCAAGTGCAGCACTTTCTACATCCAAGTTTGAAATTCCAATAGTAGCTTTTTGATTTCCCAATTCCAAATTTTCCAACTCGATAAAATTTTCAACCTCACTGTTTTGATTCAAAATTGTATCATTTTTCTCATTGGAGTTTACTGTTTCAAGTTTTTTCTTCATCTTGTTAATATCAAAACTAACAACATTTATTCTGTTTAGACATAGAGATGTAGATTTTGGTACTTGTAGACTATTCTTTTCCTTTTTTTTACCCTTAGTGCTACTTGTTTTATTATTTTTATCCTTTGTTTCAGCATTTTGACTTTTTTTTGGAGTTTTATAAACGTTTTCAAGATATATATGATGAGATTGGTCATTCTCGTTTGAAGCTAATTGTTCGTTTCCTTTTTGGTTGGTATTGTCCTTGTTTTCAAAATCAAGATTTGAAAAGGATATTTTTGCTTGTTTAGTTTTTGGAGATGACATTTGTTGGTCTCTGTTTAATTTATTTATATCAAATATATCATTTTTAGTATTTTTTGGGTGGTATAATTTATACCTTTTGTTTTCCGGCGAAAATGAAGATCCTGTTTGATATTGTTGGTGTGGGCTTTTCAAGAATGGTGCTTTTTGTTCCAAAATTGAAATTTCCATATCAAGGTTTCTTTTCTCTGATATTTCGGATTTGGATAGGTGAGTGGCTTTATGACCCTTTCTGGTTACTTCCTCAAAGTCATCATCAAAGGGTGTGCTTGATTCAACACCTCTTGTTTCTTTTTCTGAAAAATTGGTAGCTTTGAAACCATTTCTCATCTCATCATTCTTATCAACTGGTCGTTTATTGCTCGAGTTTTTCGTTGGAGTTAATAAAAACTGTGATGATAAAGATTTTTGAGGAGTAAGGTTTACTGTTGCTTTTGATGGTACAAATGTTTTTCTTAACGTTTCCTAATTGTTAAATTGTAGTGTTTATAGTTGATTTTAATAACATTTGGTATCAAAAAGGTAAAAATTTACATATACAAACTCAGATAGTTCCTGTTCATATTTTATGAAGACACTTCTTTTGTCAGGGCTAACATTAAAGTCAACAACACCTAAAAATAATGAAATTTTTAATAAATACTAGAAAATTAAAATATTTGTTATTTCTGAAAGGTTTACCTGGTTGCATATCAATTGATATAATTGCAACAGGATACTGTATTGGATTAAACTCTTTATAAACGTCATTGGTGATCTTCTTGATCTAATATTATTATACTGACATTAATAATTTATCTTTATATTATCGATAAATAATCATACCTTTGGAACCTCACAAGGTTTTCCGTTCAGATAAAAATATTGTTTATCAGAACTTCCTCTCCCGGAGTTTGGCATTGGACTAGATACATATCCATCAATTCTAAACTTTATATCCGGGCTACAAACCATTGGAAATACAATTAGAATATAATATTGTAAACAGAAATTTAAAAGTTGTCGGAAATTACCTTTCAGAGCTTTCAAAAG